ACTCCATGGAATTGGCAATAACCTCAGTAATACTAGCTGAATTTATTTAATATTTACTTTATAGCAGACTGTGGTAGGTCATTTTCAAGTATTATCTTGTTTTACCCTCCAGCAGCCTTTTGAAATAAATTATGGTGGTTTGAATTATACACATGAGGATGTGGAGGCCTGGACAGCTGGTAGGTGAGGGAGCTGGCGTTTGAATCCAGGTTTGCTATTCCCAAAGCTGTGCTTTGACCACTGTGCTGTCACTTAAAGCATAGAGATGGAAAATTTAGCATGGGAAGGGAGGCTGGCCCCGAGCTACTTGGGCTCCTGCAGCTCCTGATGCTCCTTGGGTCTAAGTTAGCAATTCATAGTGGTAACTGAGCTCCTGCAGTTTACCCAGATTTGTTTTAGGCTTGGTTGGACAATTCCAGAGGAGAAGGGATGGCTCTCAGAAGATTGTGGTTTGACAGGAGAGGTGGGAAACGTCCTTGCGGTAAAAGGTAATATGGAGAGACATATGCCTGTGAACTGTGCACAGTGTGTCCTCCACGTGGAGCTGGTTCTGGGTGGACAGGAAAGGGTGAAGTTAGCTAAGAAGGCTTCCTTTTTCTTTTTTTTTTTCCTCCTGGGATTGGCAAGAGATGAGTGAGTGCAGTCGAATGACCTCTGTGCAACCTCTCCACAACTCAAAGGCTGAATGTGGTCTCAGGCCAGGTAGCAAGTGCATGTCAGCAGATTTCATCTCCTCTCTGCTGGTAACTGCTCCCTGGAGACGATGTTGCAGGTTCTGAGGCAGGTCTGGGGTGCCTTGATTGACTAGTGATGTCCCTGGTGGTTGCAGGCCTGGAGTAGAACAGCAGGGTACGTGCTAAATCTCATCTGAGGGCTGTGTCGTTGGCTTATCCTCTGTTGCCTTCCTCGGTTACCATCATCCCCTCTCCCCTGGACTCTCTGGTTTCTTACCTCATTCCCTGCACCTACTCTTACTTTCTTCCTTCCAGTCTGACTTCCTCTCTAGTCTGTATTCTTCTTCTTCTTCTTCTTTTTTTTAATTTGACAGGTAGAGTTATAGACAGTGAGAGAGAGAGAGAGAGAGACAGAGAGAGAAAGGTCTTCTTTCCCTTGATTCACTCCCCAAATGGCCGTTACGGCTGGTGCTGTGTCGATCCGAAGCCAGGAGCCAGGTGCTCCCTCCCGTTCTCCCATGCGGGTGCAGGGGCCCAAGCACTTGGGCCATCCTCCACTGCTCTCCCCCGGGCCACAGCAGAAAGCTGGACTGGAAGAGGAGCAACCGGGACTAGAACCATATGGGATGCTGGCGCTGCAGGCAAAGGATTAACCTAGTGCGCCACAGCGCCGGCCCCTAGTCTGTATTCTTTCTCTGTATGTTCTCAATGGCCACCAGATGGATTCTTTTCCCCAGATGTGTATCTGGGAACACCCTCTCCTGGCTTCTGGTTTCTTAGGAAAAAGGTCAAGTCCTCAGCATTGGCTGGCTCCCACTTACCCCTCAGCCTCGTCCCCAGTTATTATTCTTGTTTGGTGGTGTTTTCTGTTGAGGGGCCTTTGCACGTGCTGCGCCCTCTGTTGGAACATGTTTTCTTTCTCTCTGTCTACTGCAGTTCCCAGCAGACACATTGTCTGCTCAGGCTCATTCCTTTCAGAGTGCCTGCCTTGTTTTAGTTATACGTTCATCTAGGATGGTTTGGTTGGTCGCAGTCCTCACTAGACTGAAGTTCCAGAGAAGAGACACGGAATCTGTTGTTAATCACCGTTGCGTCTCCAGTGCCTACGAGTAAGTCAGCAGATACTTGCCGAGTGAGTCAGTGGTCTCTAGCAGCCATTAAAAAATATGATTTCTCCTTCCATTCTCTTCTTTCCTGTAACTTCTTGCCCTTTTGGCCCTGCCCTGGCCTATATCTTTTCTGAAGCTGGGTAAGGCAAAAGAGAAGGTGGAATTCAGCTTATCTGTATGTTTATTTTTTCTGGAAGATTTGTTTGAAACTTGGATGACCCATGAATTTGGATTTTCCTGATTGTTCCTGAGCTTTCGGGAGTTGAATCGAGATCAGAGTGTGTATAGCTAATTGGAAGTTTTGCCACGAGGACAGGGATCATGTGTGTCCCCTGCTTTCTGGGATGAGCTGTGCGCAGGAATAGGTAACGTTTCTCAGAGGCAGACTTGCCTGGACTCCCTTGCAGTGCGTGTGCTCACACTGATGCTGGGGCTGCCTTCGAATCCTCCCTGCCCAGGGATCTGTTCCTCTTCTCTTTCCCTCTTCTCTGATTTAGAGGATTAAGGCTTCAGGTGACGTCTTCAGTTAGCAGGGCTGTGAGCCCCACCTGCTGCCCTGGCTGCTGGCTCTTTTCTGCTCAGCTCTTCAGAGTGGGTGGTGGCCGGGCCCTCTTGTTCAGGCTGGAGCTCTGTGTCTCGGGATGCTGCGGGGCCTCAGTCGGGAGTAGATTTCCACTCCAACTCGTGGGCTGCAGAGAAGAATCCTTCGTCCCTTGGTCTTTCCTGCCTGTTTGGAGGTGGCGCAGTGGGGATGAGAGGCAGAGTCTGGCTCTCTTCAGGTCTGGTAGACTGAGGCAGCAGTGACTGTGAGTCCTCAGGCAGGACACCTCTGTTGCCCGTCTCTCAGCTGTCGTGGTACAGAGGGGGCCATGGGAATGGTCCCATGGGCTCACGCTCTCTCTCTCTCTTTTTCTCTTTTTAAGAGTTATTTGAAAGGCAGAGCAACAGAGAGAGAGAGAGAGAGATCTTCATCCTCTGGGTCACTCTTCAGATGGCTGCATCAGCCTGGCTGGGCCAGGCTGAACCTAGGAGCCTGGATCTCCATCTGTGTCTCCCACATGGTGGCAGAGACCCAAGCCCTCGGGCCATCTTCCACTGCTTTCCCAGGCACGTTGTCAGGGAGCTGGATCAGAAGCAGTGCAGCTGGGACCCTTACTGGCACTCTGGTATGGGATGTCAGTGTTGTAGGCAGAGGCTTAAACTACTGGCCACAACACCAGACCGCAGGGGGTCTGTCTTATCTCTAGGGATTTTGGAGTGAATTCAGAGTCACCAGATGCAGTCATTTCCCTAACATTCTGCCCAGGCCACATCCTGACCCCGTGGTGAAGCCGGGGTCTTGTACTTGAACAGGGCTATTCATGGTCACTGCTCTGGGCAAAGCGCTGGCAGCATCTGATGGAGCGGGGACAGGAGAGGTCAGGACTACCTTGTGCAGCCTGCCCTTGCTCTGCGGGGCGAGCTGTTGGGAGCAGGGCTGTTCCCAGCAGCCAGCTCATAGGGCAGCCCAGCCTTGTGTCACCAGGCTGTGCATGCTAAGGTGCTGGTGGGCCAGGAGTGGGCAGAAGGGAGTAGATCTAGGGCAGCATGTCAGATGCAGAACTTGGTACTGCCCCATCCCTGGGGCTGGGAACCTTGCATTTGACCTGGACACCTCCTGTCTTAGGCACTTGGGCTTCTGCAACAAAATGCTATGGACCCTATGACTTAAACCTGGAAAACTATTTTCTTACATTTTTGGAAGCCACGAGACCCAGGTTGAGGTCTGTTCCTGGTTCCTACCTGGCACATGAGTGCCTTCTTGTACTATCCTCAGGTGGTGGAAGAAGAGCGTTCCAGTCTTTCTCTCTCTTTTTAAAAAAAGGTTTATTTATTTTTTGAAAGCAGAGTTACAGAGAGAGAAGGCGAGACAGAGAGAGGTCTTCCATCTGCTGGTTCTCTCCCCTGATGGCTGGGCCAGGCCAAAGCCAGGAGCCAGGAGCTTCATCTGGGTCTCCCATGTGGGAGACAGGGGCCCAAGTTCTTGGGCCATCCTGCACTGCTTTCCTGGATGCATTAGGAGGGTGCTGGATTGCAAGTGGTGCAGCTGGGACTTGAACTGGCACCCATATGGGGTGGTGGCGGCTTAACCTGCTGCACCAAGTGACGGCCCCTGTATAGACAGCAGTCCTATTGGTTAGGGGCCCATCCTTGCAACCTCATTTAACCTTCGTTACCTCCCCAGTACCCTCTCAGCTACACGTTACATGTCAAGGCTTCAGTGTATGAAGTTAGGGGGGCATGGTCTAGGGCCTTGCAGCTCCTTTCCACTCCTTGCCCTCCACGTCCCAGTCCCTTTAAGCCTAACTGACATCCCTCTGTCTGTCGTGCCTGTCCATCCCCTTCCGATCCCTCTGCCTCTGCCCTAGTGTAGCCCTGGATGGCAGCCTCCTGAGGTGATTCTCTTGATACCAGTTTCTTATTTCTCCCATGCCGCCGCGCCAGTCCTACCAGAGTTCCTGTCCTAAAAAAAGGCTGCCCTGTGTCTTTCACTGCCGTCCTCAGTGACTCCCCTCTGCTACAGCGCAGGCTTGAGGCTCGTAGGCAGCCCTGGAGCTGGCCCTCCACCCCAGCCCTGCCATGTACACTGTTCCCTCTGTCTAGAAGGCCTTTCTCTGTGTCCAAGTTCTTGTCAGCCTCCTCACACCTGCACTGGAAATTTGCTACTCTGTCTTAGTGTCTTTGGAGCAGGAGGTTTCCCCTGGTGCTGTCCTCTGCTGGTGAACTTGTGATGCTGCCTGCCCTGGATTGTGGGTTCCCGGAGGGCACTGTTGGGTATCAAAGAGGGTACGAGCTGAGAGAGTGTGACCAGGCACCGGCGTGTGCTGCTGGTGAATTTGGAATCACCAGGGTTTTCTAGCTAGAGGTCCAGTGCTTTAACTCTCCTATTTGGAGGGCTATGAAGTCACTCTTATGAGAGCAAGGCATACAGTCTTTTGTGGCTTGCCAAGTGTGTGGTACGCCGGGGAGAGGTGTGTCTTGGGAGCTTGCCCAGGCGCAGAGCCCATGAGGCTCGAGTTTTGAGTTGTTGGTTGCACCCTCCACCATCCCCGGTGCCTGGAGAGCCCCAGCCATGCTGGTTTGCAGGGTCTGGTGTGGCCCATTACCCAGCTCTAGTTTTAACCTTTCTAAGCTGGACCACTAATTTTCTCTTTGTGTGGGGGTCTCTGGGGTCTAGGTGTTCAAGCCCAGGCCAGTAATGGCCGGACAACCCATGCGCATAGGGGACCAGCTGATTCTGGAGGAAGACTATGATGAGACCTACGTACCCAGCGAGGAAGGTAAGAGGCCCTGCTCTTTGAGGGCAGGAATGTGAATGGTTTATTTCTGTTTCTTCCAGTGCAAGGTATGGTGCATGCACAGGACTGCTTATGATATTTGAGTTGGATCAGGGGTTGGGAAACAGTAGCCCATGGGCCTGCCTTGGCCCATTACCTGGTTCTATAAATGTATTTCTTTGGAAAGCAGCAACTTACATTTATTTCTGTGTCTACGACTGCCTTCATGCTATGGCAGCAGAGGTAAGTGATTGTGACAGAGACTGTCTGACCCACGTTTACAGAAAAACTCTGCTAACCTTGAATTACATCAATAGTGAGCTGTAAGTGAAGACGTAGTGTGGGATGTCACGATGTGCTATGGGTCCTGAGGCAGGACAGACCGAATTTCTTATGAACAAACTTATAAAGCAGTGGGTTTTTTTGTTGTTGCTTTTTAGATTTATTTATTTGAAAGGCAGAATTTTATATATATACACACACACATACACACACACACAGAGAAAGAGAGAGAGAGAGAGGTCTTTCATCTACTGGTACACTCCCCAAATGGGCCACAATCGCTGCAATGGCCAGGGCTTGGCCAGGCCAAAGCCAGGAGCCAGGAGCTTCTTCTAGGTCTCCCATGTGGGTGCAGGGGCCCAAGTATTTGGACCGTCCTCTTCTGCTTTCCCAGGTGCATTAGCGGGGAACTGGCTTGGAAGTGGAGCAGCCAGGACTTGAACCAGCACCTGTATGGGATTCTGGCATTGCAGGTGGTGGCTTAACCCACTACACCACAACACCAGCCCTGTTTGTTGGTTTTTAAAGACAACAAACTTATTAATGACAATAATATAATTTATTGAGTATTTTTGTCTGTTTTTAGAACTATACATGTTTCCTTTCTTTTCCTTTCCTTTTTTCTTTCTATTTTTTAAGATTTCTTTGAAAGGCAGAGTGACAGACACACACACACACACACACACACAGATCTTTGATCTGCTGATTGCTCCCCAAATGGTTGCAATTGCTGGAGCTGGGCTAGGCTGCAGCCAGGAATCTAGAATTCCACATGGGTCTCTCACGTGGTTAACAGGGCCCATGCACTTGGGCCATCTTCTGCTGCCTTCTCTGGCACATGAACAGGGAGCCATATTGGAAGTGGAACAGCTGGGACTTGAACTGGCAGTCACATGGCATGTTGGCATCCCAGGCAGCTGCTTAATCTGCTGTGCCATAGCGGTGGCCCTGGTGAGACAGCTCTTAACTCAGTACATACATCTCTTCTATTCCCCCAGAGCTCTGGCAGAAGAGCTCTTCTACATGCTTGACTCCAAAAGAGTACTGCACAAGCCTTAGGCTCCAAAATACACAGCAAGACGGAAGACAAAGAGAAACAGCTCCCTTCATGGAAGAGAGGGTTCAGCAGGTGGGGAAAGGTCCCGCCTGAGTGTCATCCACTCTCTCAGCGCAGGATTTCCCCGCCCCCAGGCGGAATCAGCACTGCTTTCTCTCTGCTTTGTGCACAGGCTAAACGTCTCCATTACAGCGCGTTTCACCTGCTTCCTGCTGTAGCTGTGGTCTGTGAGGCCCTCAGGGGCTCAGTCAGCTGTAGTTGCTCAGGCTGTGCTTGCTGATCAGGCCGTCCTGGGGAGCGCTGGTCTGGCGAGGCCGCCCTCCAGCCGATGGTTCTGGCTGTGGCTGGTGTGGTTCTTGAGGCTTCTGCCATGAGGAAGTCTTGCCGTCTCCCCCCCCCCCCCCTTTTTTTTTTTTAAACCTTTTAACTACTTGGCTTTAGATTATATTGTTGGAGGGTAGAGCTCAACGTGTGTAACTTCAGGTATGACTTGCATAAATTGTGACATAAGGAAACAATTAAATGCAAGGGTACTTCAAAAAGTTCATAGAAATGGAATTCAAAGGTAAGTTTATTTTGCTGCAAAAAAAAAAAAAAAAAACTTTGGAAATCTAGGACTGGTGTCAAGCTAGCACTGGTTTGAGTCCTGGGTGCTTTCAAATCCCTCCCTGCTAATGTGCCTAGGAAAGCAGTGGAGGATGGTCCAAGAGCTTGCATCCCTGCCACCCATGTGTGAGACTAGAATGGAGTTCTGGGTTCCTGGCTTCAGCCTGGGCCAGCCCTTGATGTTGTGGTCATTTGGGAAGTAAAACAGTGGGTGGAAGATCTGTCTGTCTCTGCCTTTCAAATAAATAAATCTTAAAAAAAAATTGAAATCCATGCATAGTTTTTATAATATACATTTTATATGAACTTTGTGGAGACCCCTCAAATGTGTTTATTTTTTACATTTAGAGAAACAATATTTTCTCTTCAAAGAAAATTTGGAAAGTGATTGTAAAGTAGAAAAGATTTTTTTTTCTTCTTTTCATGCAACTTCCCCATCTTTCTCTCTTTCCGACCCTCCTGCCTGTCCTTGCAGAAATTCTTGAATTTGCCAAAGAGATTGGTATTGACCCCACCAAGGAACCAGAACTGATGTGGCTGGCAAGGGAGGGCATTGTGGCCCCACTGCCTGTGGAGTGGAAACCGTGGTAAGTCAGCAGGGGTGGAGCCCTGACGGCCCGTCAGAGGCAGAGGGAACCTGATGTTGGAGCTCAGTGTTGACCAGCCAGCTTTCCCGTGCCTGTCCTGCACTTGGGGACAGCCCTGTGCTGTTTCTGTGCCAAGCTGCCTTGCTGGTCTCTGTGATGGGTACAAGTCTTGTGTCTGGGGCCGCAGGAGCTGCTGCTCTGTGTCCTTTAGCACCAGCATCTGTTCTGATGTGCTGAGGAGGTGCCATTCTCATTCTTTGTAGGCTGACATTGGAAGTGACAGCTATACCTCGCATATGTCCAAAATGGATGCTGTTGCTACAGGGGTTTGTAGTGAGGCTACACAAGCAAAGCGTTCTCGTCTCTTTTGGCAACCTGTTGCTGAATTTTTGTAACCTACCACAAATAGGTTTATATTTGTGGGTTCGTTCATATTTTTGGAGTCAGAGGAGCACAGACTCTACTCGGGTTATCTGGAGGAAACAGGTTTATGGTTTGGAAACAGAGCAACCAGGTGGGGAAGCATAGGGAGCCACGGTCACCGCATTGTCAGCCTCCGTCCCTGAAGACATGAGGATGCCCGGCCTCCCTCCAGCCCTGGCACTGTTTCCTCCATTCTGTGTGTCTGCTCTCTTGCTGACTGCACACTTGCTATTCCTCGTCATGTGCACACAGCTCTCTCCCGCGTTGTTTCCTTAGAGTGCCATAAGTTTACTTCCTACCTTACAGTGAGAGTTCCCTATGATTGTCCCAGACTAGTCCCCAGATATTTTGGGTGGGATGTCCCCTTTTGTGCAAGCATTGTGCACTTTTGTAGGCAAGGTGTGATCATCTGTTCTTGCCCAGAACATAGAATGTGTTGGCTGTACTTCAACGTGACTCCAGTGGCCCCGGCCTTACTCTTCGCAGCTGAAGAACTATGATCCCTTTAGCTCTTCCTTACATGGCAGGCTCCTTGTTCTCTTGGTCTTTCAGCTGCCTTTCCTTGGATTGTCTCCAGCTTCGTGACATCTTCCTTGTTGTAAATCTGCCTGCACTTTTTTAGCAGTCCCTGTGCTGAGGACTCCTGGCTGTGTCTGTAGGATAAGTTTATGGGAGAGTGGTTTCTGTTGTGTCTCCAGTGTCCACCGTGGTGGAGGGTAAGAAACTGCTGTTGGTTGTGGGCTGTGAGTGTGCTGGGCTTTGTGCCAGCTGCCTTCTTGTACCTGCCAGTGTTGGCGGACACTTCCTTGCCTTGTAGGAAGAGGGAGAACTATTTTTCACTTTTTAAAATAACCTAAGTCAAGATTCAAGATGGCCAGATGGAGAAGCCCAGCATCTGGCTCCTCCTCTTTGGAGGAGGCCCAGAGCAGCTGCATCTCAAGGTGAGTGCCTGAGGAGGAGTATCTGAATGCAGTAGAGGAACAGTGGAACACATCAGAACACAGGACCGGCAGAGACCAAATCCCTGGCCCCACGGCCAGGGGAGTCCCCTGTGGCGGGGGCCGGGGTTAGCTGGAGCGCCTCCGCGCAGCCCATGTTTAGAATGAACACCGACTGGTAGCAGTCCTGGCCAGGGAGGAATCCGGTCACCACAGAGAGCAGCGCAGCGAGCTCTCCCTGGAAGACTCACAGCCCTTTGCTTCGTTGAAGAAACTCATTGTCTCCTCCCTCACCCCTCAGAGCAAGGGCTGTGGCAGGGTAGCACCGTCTTGAGAGGGGAGTCACTGTTGGAAGCCACACTGGCTGGCCTCACAGACAGAAACCCTTGCGTATCTTCTTCCCAGGGGCCACATGGATAGTCTGCAGTCTGTCAGGGAAGACTGAGGCCCCTCAGTCCGACTGGATACAACGCGGGAAGGGTGACCCCAGCACTCTAGGCCACGTAGCCCAGTGCACTTCAGGGAATGGTGGTAGCAGGGCAGCTGGGATATCCAGCTTCTAGGTCCCTAGAAGTACAGGTCCTGCCCCTTATACCTGGGGATGGTCTTCCTCTCCACTGTCTCCCCTCTCCTGACCACTTGGAGCACTGCTGGTTGCTGCCGGTACCTCTGCACACCGGACACAGTCAGGGTTCCTGTGCCCTGCCAGCTCTGCCTCACAAGGCTCAGGGCTCCCTGTGCACCAGGGACAGTTCTTGCGATAGGATCTGAGCATGTGGTGAGGAGTGTGGTACTTTGTGCATGTTCCCAACACCAACACAGAGAAGGCCTGTAGACGACACCCTGCACCTACAGGCTTCAGCCTCTCCCACTGACATTAGCCAGAATTTTGAAGCCATGCCCATTCTAGGCATCATTCTGGACTCTTGCCCCTCCCATGACCAACTGCCTGGGCTTGCTGGCTGTACCCAGTGTGCTCACTGGGGGCTTTGGCCTGGGCTTTCCACCCTGCCTAATGCAGCATGTAGTGTATTAGCTCAGGGCTTTGGTCTGGACCTTCTGTGCCACACTCAACCCAGCACACTGCTCAGAGTTTCTGTGCTCAGTCCAGGCCCAGTCTGGGGCTCAGGGCTTCAGCACCTCCCAGAGAGCCTGCCAAGTTTCCGTGACCCTCCAAGGCTAATACGCTGCTGCTCAGTTGTTGCTCCAGCCTGGGCTTCCTGCATCCCACTCAGCTCAGTAAGCAGTCCATGGAGAGGGGCCAGGGATTGCTTGTTCTGTTGTCCCAGAGGCAGTTACTCTCGCAGACCCAGCCATTCTCTCAGCACCTGTGGGACCTGCCTCCTGCACCAGCATAGCACTACCTTGGGACACTAGAGTCAGGTTGTGGCCGGGAGTCCATGACACCATCCTACTCCTGGAGCCAGGTTGATCTTCCAAGTCCAGCTCCTGACTTGTGTACTGGCTGGGATTTTGTGTGCCAGCTGCACCCTGAGCACCAGCAGGACCTGCTCCCAACACCGGAGAAGTTCCTGACTCCAGTCCTTCCCTGAGGAGATGGCTGGGATGTGTGACAGGGGTCCCAGTGACTGCACAGGACCACAGGGACTCTGAAGATCCCTGCTACTGCCCCCGTGAACTAGAGCAAAAAAAGGGATTAGGAGTATGTAGTATGGAGTCCAGCTGGAACTAAAGCTGGAGCTGTGAACCATGCCAATACCCAAAGGCACATCTCCAGGAAAAAGCCTTCAGTCAACAAAAATCGCCTTCAAGAAGTAATAGAAGCAATTATTCTCCCAGATGTGTAAAGAACAGCAAAGGAACACAAGAAATATGAATAAGTGAGGCAATCTGATGCCCCAGAAGGAATGCAATAATGCATTAGTATCAGGCCATGAAGAAAGGGAGATTGGTGAAAAGCTGGAGAATTCAAAGGAGGGATTCTGAGGTTACTCAAAGAGATACAGGAGAATACAGATAAATAGCTAAATGAAAATAGGAAATCACTGCATGACATGAATGTGCAAGAGCAAAGAGAGATAGTGAAAAAGAACCAAATATTACAAATGGAGAACTCGATAATCAAATAAAAAATATACTGGAAAGCCTTGACAACAGGCTAGATCCAGCAGAAGAAACAATTTTTTATCTTGAAGACAGGCTTTTGAAGTATCTCAGCCAAACAACCAAAAAATGAACATGAATGAAAATAGTGTTTGGAATCTCAGAGATACCATCAAGTGAATTAGTATTTGAATTCTGGGAATTCTTAAAGGAATAGAAAAAGAAGAGTTGCCTAGAAAGCCCATTTGGGGCTGGTGTTGTCGTGCAGCAGGTTAAGCCACTGCCTGTGACGCTGGGATCCCATATCAGAGCACTAGTTTGAGACCCAGCTACTCTGCTTCTGATCCAGATCCCTGCCAATGTGCCTGGGAATCAGGCCCAAGCAGAAGATGGTCCAAATACTTGGGTCCCTGCTGCCCTTGTGGGAGACTTGGATGGAAGGTCATTATATCATGATCAAGGGATCAATTAAGAAGATATGACTATTGTAAATGTATACATATCTAATGGTAGAGCACCCAGTTTCATAAAACATATGTTAATCTAAAAGGAGACACAAACTCCAATACAATAATATTGGAGGGCTTCAAAGTCATCACATCTCAGTGTTAATTTCACTTCTATGGATTACCTTTTAGATACTCTATTAATTACCACAGTTCAGGAAGAACATATGCCATTTGTCTTTTTGGGACTGGCTTTTTCACTTAGTATAATGTTTCCCAGTTGCATCCATTTTGTTGCAAACAACAGGATTTCATTTTTTTTACCACTATATGGTATTCCATCATATCCCATAATTTTTTTTATCCAGTCTTCAGTTGATGGGCATCTAGGTAGATTCTGTATCTTAGCTATTGTGAATTGAACTGCAATAATGGAGGACTTCAGCACCTCACTTTCATCTGTGGTCAGATCAGCCAGCCCAAAAAATCAGCAAAGAAACAACATAGTTAATTTGCGCCATAGACCAAATGGACCCAGTAGACATTTGCAGAACATTTTATCGCAGATGTGCAGAATACATATTCTTTTTGTCAGCGCATGGACCGTTCTCTAGGAAAGCTCTCATACTGTGCCATAAAACAAGTCTCAACAAGGTTATTTATTATTTTTTTTTTGACAGGCAGAGTGGACAGTGAGAGAGAGAGACAGAGAGAAACGTCTTCCTTTGCCGTTGGTTCACCCTCCAATGGCCGCCGCGGCCGGCGCGCTGCGGCCGGCACACCGCGCTGATCCGATGGCAGGAGCCAGGAGCCAGGTGCTTTTCCTGGTCTCCCATGTGGGTGCAGGGCCCAAGCACCTGGGCCATCCTCTACTGCACTCTGGGCCATAGCAGAGAGCTGGCCTGGAAGAGGGGCAACCGGGACAGAATCCGGCGCCCCGACCGGGACTAGAACCCGGTGTGCCGGCGCCGCTAGGCGGAGGATTAGCCTAGTGAGCCGCGGCGCTGGCCCCTCAACAAGGTTAAAAAAAATCATGTCATCTATCTTTTCCTATCACAATGGAATAAAGCTGGAAATTAACAACAAAAGAAACTGTAGAAGTTATGCAAATATACAGAGCCTGAGCAAC